TTGATATTTTTTAATCGATATATATCGATTTATTGCTATATATCGATTTATATCTTTTTAAAAAATTTTCTGATGGTAGTTGTGCAAGGTTACCAATTAACAGAACTTTAATTCTACCAAAAGGTAAAGCATTATTGTGTAGACGGGCAAAAAGATTACTAATAAATATCAACAAACTAGCAGATACTATAGATATTTCATTAATTATAATAATCTCAAGTTTTTGAAGAAATTGGTGACTTTCTTGATTATTAAGTGCTAAACTTATATGATTACTAGAAGATGGCCATATTTTTAGTTGAGAATGAATTGTTTTGCCATTAATATTTTGAGCTGCTACACCTGTTGGAGCCATTAACAAGTATTTTTTACAATGCAATTTGAGATGATTTATGATTAAAGTTATTAAGTATGATTTACTAGTTCCTGCTAAACCAGTTAAAAAAAAATATGGATGACCATTTTCATTTATATGTTTCCATGCAGAAGTTAATATATTTAATGTGGCATATTGGTCTGATGGTGTTTCTAACAGTGAATATCAAGTGATCATAGGTAAAGAACACATTAAAGTATTAAGCTGATTACATACAATAGTTGCAATATCTTAATGCATACAATGTATTATTCTATCTATTTGTTGCTGATAATTAATAGAAAATCTAGTAAATCTTGCTGATGTGTTTTGACTAATATTATATACAACTTGATTGAATTGATCTGGAAATATAGAGTGAAAATGGAACAATAATTAGAATATAAGCCTAATAACTTATCTTCACTTCTACAGGATAAATGAAGTAGAAGTTGTTGGTAAAAAAACAATTCACCATCTTCTACTGAAAGATACTGAAATCTTACTAAAATTGATTTTTTTCTTTGAATTACAATTTTACCCTGTTGATCTATCCAATAATTAATATTTGAATTTGGTCGACTAGATTTTATTTTGTAATTCTGATAATAATATGAATATGTAATATTATCAAAGTGCAAATTAACAGGTCTGAAAAAATACTTGTCAATAGCATCTGCCCAGTATGGATTAGAAGTTTCACCATTTAGTAAATATATTGGCTTTACACACTTTGATCGTATATTAGGTGGTACAGTTGGTAGATATTCAGTAGCAATAGTTGAACGACAAATAGAATATCCTATTAAGAGTATCATCAATTCCATTACGCCAAAACATCGAGCTAAGATATGAGATCGATATGTATTATGTTCATTTAGCTTAAACAGATCAGAACTTTCTGGTTTGGTAATATATTTAGTCATATATTTAGCAAAAGACTTAGAGGTAACATATTGAAAATTACAATGACCTTGCTACAACAATAAAGTGGGTGCATGATAAGGAACAATCCACTGGTCTGATTCTTTAGTTTGACAATAAGTATAATATAAAAAGGTAGAATTATAATAAGTGTGTTCCAACAATGGTGCTGAAAATTTTTTTCTGCATTGTTCACCAGGAAGAGGTGGACTACCACACTTATTAGGTAAACAATGATGGATTTGATGATTACGAACCAGTTTATAAAGAACTGGTTCAGTACAAGGATCAGGCAAGTCTGCACAAATAATATTATGATTAATCAAGTTTGAAATTGACATATCAAGATAAGCTATACCATGAGTATGTATATTGCCATGATTTTGAAATTCATCTCATTCAAAATGATGCAACCACTTTCCTTATTTACTTAGATTTGGATTTTTCCATAGCAAATTTTGAACAGAATTTAGCCGCTGATAATAATAAAAATAAGTATGTAAAGGGCGATTAGGTGGTAGAGTGCAATGGCTATCAGTATGGGACAAAATTTTTAATAAATGTGGCCAAAGTCCTTTTGCCATAGTTATAGTATAAAAGATTTGAGGTAGCCCAAAACTTTGAACCATTGCATTTATAGAATATTGACGTTGTCAAAAATATATATTACCAGTTCGAATATAAGAAGAAAGTGTAGTGGTTAAAGTTTCATCAACAATTGGTCTATTACTATAAATACTTTGATTAATCAAGTCTGTGATTGTTAGAAGTTGCTGTTGATTTATATTTCGCTGATATAAAATATATTGCCTATTTTGATGGTTTCGTAACTTTTCTAAATTAATATAAGACCAAAATGGCCAGTACCAGTAGAGACAGAATCAAGAATCTGGACACAGTAGTCGAAGCTTAATATACTTAGCATATGTATCAATATGGTTACAACGATTAATTAAATTTTTAGAAATTTCTTCCTAGTGACCATGCCTATCTGGAAAAAGATCAGGAAAAAGTATAGCTTCCAAATTGGGATCATTATATGAAATTGGCAAATCTATATTATCAGAATTTTTTATAAAACCTGCCAATAGTCTACTATAATAAAAATCTTCATTGTGAACTTCAGGATCAAAATCATATGGTAGTACTACTATATCAGGATGATGTTGCAGTAGTGTATTATTAGATAATATATTTTCTTCATCAATCAACTGTACTATAGGGAAAGTGTTTAGAGGACGTGTCAAAGTAATTGATGAAAACATTTGATCGAATTGTTTGAAAAATCAGTTATTGATTTTCAACCAGCTAGCCACATTTAGTAAAGATAGATAAAACCAGTTATTATTATGAGAGGGATCTAAAATAGCACCTAATGTTCCAGTATAAATTTGTAAAGCACGAATATTCTTTGAAAGACCAAAGACACCAGTAAGGTGGCGATAATGGGTAAAATGATTTGCATTTTCAGCATGTCCAAGAGAACAACTCAGATGAATAGGTAAAAGCCAACAGCGATAAAACATCAGAACATTCATTAGTTCATCTGGAACTGGAGCAAGTGTTGGAGCATTATGACGTTTAGCAACAGATACACAAGAATTACATACAGCAATATAGCCTTCTTTATTAGGATGTTCAGTGAGTGATAAATGTGAAAAAGCTTTACAAAGATCATATTCCATATTGTTATCATGAGAGAGCCATCTGGCTTGAACAGGAAACATAAGAATTGAGCAATGTGAACAGGGTACACAAGGGAACATATACAAAATTTCAGTTTGAAATCTGTGATTTAGAGAAATTAAAGGAAGAGCGGAAAAAGAGGTTAATTCAGATAATAATTGATCTTGATTTTCTGTTAAAAAGGTAGGTGCTCGTGGATGATTAAAGTTAACATTTATACGGGTTTGGTATTCTAAAAGAACATCATTACATAAATAATAATAGGGATCATTCTCATCTAAGTCAACTATAGACAGATGAGTTATCGGAAGAGACATTGTAGACGTTTTACTAAGGTTAATATTAGATTACTTTTCAATTGACTATAATCTATTGAAGGGGAAAGATGACATTTTTTGTCTTATATAGCTTTTAGAGAGACCTCAAGTTCAACGTTTTAAATATAACAAAGCAGTAATCATAAAATACAATGACTATTTTATGCAGGGACAATGAAAATATTATGCTACTTTAATTAAAAGGGATTATCTAAATCTAATAATACAAATTTTCGCTTCTGATTCATCAACCCGTGGATCTTTTTGTCTTTTGGCGTTCTCACCTATCAATGACCTGCTGATCCTTTCATCATTCATCACTCGTTACCAACCTGTAGATCAGATCGTATTTCAGCATTCGTTTGTACGTGTGATTAGCTCAAAGGAAATGATCGTCCTTTTTCTTTTGATTAATTTGATCAACATTAACGATTGTCAGCTAGGATCATCAGATAATTGGAAGATCGTCGATGGAAGGATTGGAACGAATGCGGGAAGAGTTTCAAGGAAAGATTTAGTGGCGAAGTAAAATCAGATAAGCAAAAGGTAAACGGGTGTTAACAGAAAGAATGTTGTGAACAGGAGCGATCATTCGGATTCGTAGATAATTCGAATATAGTTAAATGATTTGATGAATGATTTTTTTTT